TGTGTGTGTTAAGCTGGGGTCCAATCTGGTGTTTAGATCTCACGGCTGGAGGTGTCACGGCCCTCATCCACACACACTCACACACACGCAGCAGCAGCGCAGGAAGTATCGGAGCTCCGTGACGCAAGACTGTGCTGTCAAAGCCCCGTCCCTTAAACCCCAGTGTTTGTGTCAGAGTGCGGACGCAGGGCGACGGACTGTTACTCTGGTTTAGCCTCTCTCTCTGTCTGTCTGCTGTTGTTTCCTCTCTTCACCTTTCTCTGTCACCCCTTTACCTTTTTTATCAGATGTGAGTGAGAACTTTTCTTTCTGGTGCTCTGATCTTTTAACAGCGTACACATTTTAGTTATGCACACTTGTAAAGTATATTTCAATCTTTTTGTGCACATATACTCTGCAGTACACATCTCTCAGTACTGCAGCCCTTGTCAGACGTGGGATACGTGACGTCGCTGGCTTCGTTAGTCTGTTAAAGTGACTGTCATTCAGACATGGGTCACTTTTACGAGGTGTGTCAGAAAAGTTTCAGGACTGGTGTCATAAAAGATATATTTTAAATCCAGACTACTAGTTTTTCCCCTTCATTGTAATCCTCCTGGAGTCTAACACCCTCCTCCAGCCTTCTCTTCACGCCGCCATGCACTCCTTCCTGGATCCTCCACAGCTCCGTCGTCACAGCCATCTTGATGTCGTCCACGTCTTCTAAACGGGTCCCCTTGATGACCCCCTTGAGCTTGGGGAAGAGGATCACACAGAGCCAGGTGGAGTGAGTAGGGAGGTTGCTCCAGCACAGAGATGTTCTTCGCTGCAGGATCTCTTTGTAGACGAGCTGGTTGATCGTCTGAAGGAGAAAACTCGTAGTTTGTAGTTTGGGTTTGAAATCTATCTTCTGTGACACCAGTCCTGGAACTTTTCTGACACACCTCGTACGTTAATTGTCTTCATGACTTCATTCACACACACCCACCACAGTGACGGAGGAAGCTGCTCCTGCTGGTCATCGTACTCTTGAGACTGGACAGTACATTGAGTGATGCATAATACTGCATTCATACCAAAAGCTTTGACTCGAGCTGAAGATCGGTGGTGTGACAGCTCCCCTGTCTGATGTAATGAAACGTCTACAGCGTCACTGACAGCTTGTGATCCGGTCTCCATGTGGGAGATGCTTTATAAGTAAATAATGAGCTTACTGTGTGTAGCTTTCTCACTTTGGAGACGCTCACACGGATCCTGCTGCTCTAACTGTGTCGCTTGTGAGGGCTTATCTGTTCATTTGTCCACAGTCTATCTCTACTGTATAATACGATTAGAGGAGGTCTTTCAGAAGAAACACAAAGCAATGCAATCAACCTGTATCAATCAAATGCAGCAGAGACGAGTGGATGTCTGATTTTAATCGACAGATTTGAGCTCTAACCCTGTCATTCCTCCAACACACCTAACTGGATGCATTCGTCTGAGCACTCATACCAAAGCTCTGTCAGACACGTGCACTTAGTCATAACACTGAACCCCCTCGCATACCATCAGTGTTTATATCCCCAAAAGAGTGCTTATCGAGCAGTGAGAGCTTCTGTCCCTCTGGCTCGGAGGCTGAGCTGAGGCCCTGTAATGTCATCTGTGTGGGAGAAGCCGAATCAGAGCGGTATAGACAGAACGCACGTACATTTTCCATAGTTTGGCCGCCTGTAAGACCGCTCTGTGAGCACGCAGACGGGTTTGTCCTACGCTGGTTTGAAGAGATGCAGTTTATTAACGCAGTGTAGAAAAAGAGACTGTAAGTTATTCATTAAAGCATCATGAATCTAGTTTTATATTTCTGTTAATGTATTTTATCAATCTATTCATTATGTACCTCTGCTGTGAATTCTAATGAACACCAGCACAAATTAGTTACTAAACATACAATAAATGGAGTTATTTGACTTTTCCTTCGTACTAAAATGACCACTTCTGCTTTAATTATGATATTAACGCGTCATGACTGTTGGATTTGGTTCACATGTTCATTATTTGAAACATAACCTTAATTTTATGTACAAAAAAAAAGTTAAAGCTGCACTATTGCAGTAGAATTACATATTTAAAAGAATATATAAACAGCCTAATTGTGTAAAAACTCTTAAACCTCTTAAGACCACATGTGTAAACATCAAATCTTGGGTTATATTACCACAGGTTTATTTATTTTTATTTTTATTATTGTTGTTAATTTTTTTGTATTTTAATTTTTGAAAAAAATATTTCTTTATTTTCTTTATATTTTTTATTATTTTTTATTCAGAAATAAAAAATGCATATCAAACAAGAGCTCGGGTCCTAAGAGGTTAAAGTTAAACAGACACCATGTGAGTTGTGGTCACTATGTCCTGGTTCTAGTCTTTATGTATATACGTCCTGCACATTACACGATGTGTTTGCTGTCTGTGCGTTGCAGTGGTCACCCTTTACTCCACACTGGGAGGCCCGGCCATCGCTCACGGGCTGAATGAGACTCAGGTCACCCACATCATCACCAGCAGAGAGCTCCTGGAGACCAGACTCAAGGTGTCTCTTCTCTTATTCATTTTAGACTATATATATAAATCATTGATTCTGTCAGTCCTGTTCTTTTTATTTGAGTTTGAATGTCATCTCTTCTTTTTATTGCACTTTGTAAAGCCCTTTGAGTTGCCTTTGCACATGATGTTCTTACCTTGGATTGCCTTGCCGCGCACAAAGGGGAGGTTTTGTTCTGCTCCCTCAGATTTACAGATAATTCATCAGAAAGCAACAGGCAGTTTTAATCTATCGACACCTCGTGGATGAGCACGAGTTCGACACGTAGGGTTGTAAATAAGGATCAGACAGTTTTAGAGCTTGTTTCATATCAGCTCCATCACCTGGTTCCAAACTGGTGTCATTTTGTCCAATCCTCCCTCAGACTTATTATGTGCAACGAGGACGGTTAGTTCAGTAACTCAGTGGTGTAAAGCTGAGATTTGTGTATCACATGTCTCTGGTCTCTAAGTAGAACAATAATATTAAGGCACCTTGTAAGTGGCTGTTAGCCATCCATCAGAGGGAACACACAGGAGCTGGTTGAGGAACAAAGGTGGACCACAGAGACGTCAACGTTAGAAGTGCCTGTGCTCGGTGTTATGGCTACTTCTGGACAGGTTCATTTCCCAAAGACAGATCATGCTCTGGCATTTCATTTCCCCCCCTTTTATTGAAGTGGCATAAACACAAAGCTCCTCTGTTTGCTCTCACACATCCTCTCTGAGAGCAAATATTGATGAAATGATGTGCGTGGGATTAGCGTTGACAAACCTGCTTCTCATCATGTGTCAGCGTGAACCCAACACGTGCATGCCTGTCATGTCTGGTGTGTGTGTGTGGTGTGTGTGTGTGTGTGTGTGTGTGTGTGTGTGCTTCAGGCTATCCTGATTGAAGTTCCGAGGCTGCAGCACATCGTCGTCGTGGACAACACGCCGACCACGTGGCCCGGCTATCCACGAGGCATCGGCGTCCACAACATGGCTGCGGTTCAGAAGCTGGGAGCCAGACCTGAGAACGGTAGGTTAAGTTAAAAACTAGTGTTTGATTTGCTCATTTTGCTTCTTAGAGTTAAACAGAATTAAAGAATTTGAGGGATGTTTTAAACCCTGTAAAACACTTTGATTGCTGTTTTTATGATTTAGATCAGGGGTGCCCAATCCTGGTCCTCGAGAGCCCCTATCCAGCATGTTTTAGATACTTCCAACACACCTGATTCAAATGATCAGCTCATCATCAAGCTCTGCAGAAGCCTGATAACGATCCTGATCATGTGAATCAGGTGTGCTGGAAGAGGGAAACATCTAAAACATGCTGGATAGGGGTTCTCAAGGACCAGGATTGGTGCACCCCTGGTTTAGATGTGAAGTAAGCAGGGTGTCCATCAAAAATAGATTCCCTGTGAGCAACAGCAATAAAATCAAAGAACCCTGCTTCACACGAAGCACTTTGTGTTTTAAATATTAAAATACCTGTTGTAGTGTCAGATGATGGTAAAATACACCTCGTCCAATGGAAGTAGCTTCAGGAGGGTTCAACATAAAATCATAGTGTTAGGTCACACTTTTAACCCGTTTCCTTTAGGACAGCGGGCCTAGTTTTGGCCATTAAGTGTAATTTGAGTCACTGTTGTGTCTCTATGTGTCCCTATTAAATATTTATTCCAATAATGGGTGTTGTTTAGCATTTAATGGCCACTTGGAGGCAGTGGAAACAAGCTACCGATACATTACTGACATGTTATCGCCCAAACAGAGTGAAAACAAATTTGTTAACCGTCAGTTGCTTCAAACCTAAGACAGCGTCTCTACACTAAAATACAGTATCGTCCCCTCAGCCCCCTGCAGAGTGAGCCTTAACGCACTGTGAACTCTCGTTTTCTTGCAGCATCTTTAAAACTCTCCCACTCCTGCTGCGGTAAATGAGATGGTCATGGTGGGGCTTTTCTCTGGGTGTGTGGGCGTGGGGGATTGGTATCAGTCCCATTAGGTCATGTGAATGAGGAAGCGCTAACATCTGTGTCAGATTAGAGTCGATACCATGCATGTTCAGTTAGCGGACGGATGAGGAAGAGTCCCCCCTCCCTCGTTTCTTTTTTTTTTCTTTTTGCCTTTTATTGAGGCCCCCTTGAACCGACTGACCCAAAACATGACAAGCTGGTAGTGTCATGTGCAGATAAAGGGAGAAGGAAGTTGGATTAGGAAGGGAGGATGGAGCTCTGGGATACAGGGGAGGGTCATGTTTACACACAGCGCTGTTAACTTCACATGACATCAAGTCTCGGAGCACACACGTCAACATGCCTCGTATCTGAGGAAGGGAAAAGACTCTGGGACTGTGATATGCTTTGCTCTGCCTTCTGGGGCCTGCAGAGTTTGGACGTCTTAGTTCTGTTTAGTTCCACATGACGCTCAGCAGAGAGGAAAAACAAAACCGAGCTCTCACTGGTTAAGTTTCTACTTGAAACCTAAAACTGATTGACTGACTTATTCAGATAATCTGAGAGGAACCAGACGGCAGCGAGTCCGTCACTTTGTGCTCTGTTGACTTGACATAAAGTGCCGCGGCTTTTCTTGTTCTTGATGAGATGTTGTGATTGTAAAGCTCGTCTGCTACAAACAGACAGCAACAGGAATCAGTGGGTAGAAGGGGGACTGGCTTTAGCTCTGCACTGGGAGACGCAGCCCTCTCATTCATCTGAATCAAACAAACCCGCTGAAGTGGTCGATTCCTGCAAAACAACGCAGCGTCATCTTACAAACTAAAAAACAGTTGAGTCTAGTTTAACTGCTGCTGCATTGCAGGATGCTGCGGTGGCAAATGTATGAAATAATCATTAGCAATGCAAACTCCTCAAGTGTTGCAGTGTTTTAGCTCCTTAAAAACTTTCAGGTTTATAGATCTGTTACTCAAACTGGACTTTCTGGCTTGTGTTTGAAAAGTTAACCCACCTACACATCGGCTGCGGCAAGTTTTGCAACTTCCTCACTTTGACCCTGAGCTTTGGTGGTCATCGGTGGAGGCTGCACACCTTCATCAGCTTCTAGTGCCGGCTTCAGAATCACACCTGAATGAATAAAACATAAAGAAAACTTTGTGGCGACCCAATAGCTGAATGGTCAGGGCACAAATGCCGTCCACCAGCGTCCCCATTTCGATGCATATCACTTCCCTGCTCTCTCCTCCTTATTTCCTACCTTATCTTCTGTACCTCCTTTCACACAACCTGCTCCTGACAGGAGTGTTGTGGCTTTTTGTTTTGCCTTGTTGGTTTGTGTGTAAGGAATGTAGACAGAACTGGAGACATTGTTTTATTTGTGCCTTTAAGCAGGCAGTGGAAGCAGTCATAGAGTAAAATTGAAATGTGTGTAAAGGGTAAGCTGGCATGGAGGGACACACCACACTCCAGCTGGACACAAATTCATGTGTGCAGACTCTCACAGACGTGGGAAGATGACTAAATTTACGGACCCTTGCGTACTCGCAGACGTGGAAAGTATTGCGTAGGTCTTATGCTTTTCAAATCCATGAGTTTGCAAAAGTCTGCATGACATAGATTTGATCTTCTGCCCGTTGGCGTCCACACGCAGCCCAAAAATTGCACAGCGACGAAACTTAAAGTGCATTTGTGTCGATGCTCAGCAGCAGCGAGGATGTGCAGAAGACATGGAAGCCGTCCCACAGCGCATGTATAGGCCTAAGATCTCCCAGCAGCTTATAAAATAATATAGTAACTACAACAAATAGCCTGGGGGGTCCACAGTCACACACGTGCATGTCCACCAAGGAGTACAATCAAAGCTTTATGCATCATGCCTCTGATTCCTGAACGCCAGCGTACTACATGAAAGCACACACGAGAGCCACGTTATGCCAGCTGGTTTGGTTCAGCCTGAACAAGCAAAGATGAGCAACAGTGACAGAAGGGGGTCCTCTCAGTGGCATCGCAGTGCAGTGTGTTTGTGAAAGAGGCTGCTGCTTCTATCTAATAAAGGCTAGAAAAAATAGGAAAAAAAAAGGCGACTAGGAGGACCAAAGTAAATGCAGCCAGGATTGAAATTACAGCTGACAACGTAGTTTCCACCAAGTGGATGCAGCTGAAGGCCTGGAAAATAAAGACGACTACTGAGGAGGGAAGACTGAAGAATGATGGAGAGAGTGTCAGGACGAGAAGAGGAATCGATGAAAGAGAAAAGACAAGCAAAACATTAGAAAGAAAAAAAAATGAAAGGGGAAGATAAGAGTAAGACGAAAGAGCAGTGACGGAGTGGAAATAGCGTTTTTGGCAGCACAGTCAGACACAAACTGTCCGCTGTGCCAAGAGCGGCCTGATTGTTTAATATCATAGCTGACTATTTTCCATCCACATGTTTCACTCTTTGAAATATTACTTTGGCCTTTGAAATACAAATTTTCTTCTTTTTTTTCTGTGTCTTTTCTGAAATCTGCTTATCATGTACACGTGAAACAAACGGATAACAATCCTTTTATCTTATATTTACTCCAAGAATGAGCCTCTGTGGACAGGATATAAACATATACGCATTCTTCAGCAGCTGCAGTTTAGTCTGTGTTCTTGTGCGTCTGTGTTCAGTTAATAATATATATGCATATATACACACAAATCACAGTGTCCTGTTACAAGCCGTTACTGTGACTCGGTCATGTTGAGCTCTACAAGGCGTGTGCATGCGTCTGTCTGGTCTGTTCACATTTCAGCGGCACGTGAGCGAAAGCAGCCGCTGCCCTCGGACATTGCAGTCATCATGTACACCAGCGGATCCACAGGCATCCCAAAGGGCGTCATGATCTCCCATAGCAACATCCTCGCTGGCATCACAGGAATGGCCGAGAGGATACCCAACCTCTGGTAACGCAGCTGGCTTACGATATATTACAGCTTTGGAGATGTGTGACTCTACATATTAACAATGTGTAATCAGATTGGTGATTGAAAGTGCATCGATTTTTGGCTCTTTGTATAAAAAACATGTTTAAATTAGGAAAGATTTTTTTTCATGACAGAAGCCAAAACAGATATTGCATCAAAGAGTGCTGAACTACATGTAAAGTAATAGTTTGACTTGTTAAGAAACACCCTTATTGGCTTGATACCAATTCATATCTGTCCGTAAAATGTGAAGCTATAGGGAAGAGCATAGGTGCCAACTTGACACGTGCACATGAAGAGTTCACGGTTTTATTAAATTAACTCCCTGAAGCAGCACATTTACATCGTACGGAACCCCGGAAGGGACATGGAGAGAAAAAACAAAAAAAACAGGGAGAGGAAAAATAAAAATAATAGAGGTATCTTTGGAAGATCTTGCAAAACTTTCTCGGGATCTTGCAAATGTCGCATCACTTTTATTGGACGTTTTGTGAAAACTGTGTCTGTTGCTCAGCACTGCTTGAATGTCTTTATGTTTTAGGCCGATTTGAAAATAAAACTCAGTAAAACTCACGTACAGGTGGGTGTCCTCCACTGTTGTTTCTCCATACTGCCAAAAAAAACCTAGAAGTATTCCTTTTCTTCTTCTTCTTCTCCTTCTTCTCCTTCTTCTGCTTCTTCTTCTTCTTCTTCTTCTTCCAGGTGCATTACTGCCACCTACCGGATTGGAGTTACCGATAGTTAAGCAAGATCTTGCAAAAGTTATTGCAAGAACTTTTTTTTTCTTTCTCCATGTCCCTTCCGGAGCCCTGTAACGTTGCTCCCAGGGTTTTCCCTGCACAGAAGAATTTTTAGTGCACCCAAAGCGATTTTAGCCGGCGCTAGGAAACATCACCAAAATGCTAATAATTAGGAATACCTTTTTCGTTCAGGGTTTCATTTACTTAAGAATAATAGACATTTTTGTTTATTAAATTGTCAAAAATTACAGGTGAATGCATAGATCCCTGTCAAATAAGGTAACGCCTCACCTTTTCTGGACAGATCGTGCTTCCTGTTGTGTGTCGTCACCGTCAAAGGCCCATTCTGAGCCAGGAAGCCCTGATTACACAGTCGAGCAGACACACTGGACCTTTCAATTCTTAAAACACACTGTAGAGCTTCAAATTACTGGAGGCCTGTATTCTTTGCCAAAAAAAAAAAAAAGCACTGGATGACTGGATTCTTGTAGCTGCTTTTTTTTTTTTCAAAGGAATACTTTGTCATGATGGGAAATGTGCTTATTCAGACAAGCATTACCATCATTCAAACAAAAACCGAGCCATCTCTCTGGGGAAAGATAGGGGTGAGAGGAAACGTACGAGGGAGGGAGCTCAGAACGAGACGGAGGAAGACTCGGGGAGGATGGGAGTCAGGGTGAGATGGATGGAGGTTACAGGGGTTACAGCTGTTATGATCTCAATCTGACTCCTTAGGAAATAAGGACTCTCCTTTGTGTATTAAATAATCCGACTGTGTAAACCTCCCTGTAGTGTTTGCCCGGAATTTCAAACTCGTTGACTGAAACGTGATTCCAAGTAGTAGTCGTGTTGAGACGATCGTGTGTCCAGTGGCTCATATTTAACTCTAAGCAAAGGAAAACGTGACTCCGGTTTTGTGCAGATAGTTTAGATTTGACAGATTATTATCCTGTGATTTCTGACTCAAGATGGTAGTTTGTTTTAAAAGTGGTTATGCATTTTAAAATAACATTAAATGAGCCTGATTGCTTCCACAAAATACAGCTTGACGTTTAAAGACAGAACCCTGGTTTCCAGCACATCTTTACAGTGATGTGATCGTACCTTTGTGTTCACAGTGAGGAGGACACCTACATTGGCTACCTTCCTCTGGCCCATGTACTGGAGCTGAGTGCAGAGCTGGTATGTGTTTCCCATGGATGTCGGATCGGCTATTCATCACCTCAAACTCTGGCTGACCAGGTGAAGAAACACTGAACCTCAAGAACACTTTATGCTTTTTAGGAGAACAGACTGAACTGTGTCCCCACACCCAGGAATGGAAAAGTAAAAAAAAAACTGAATCAAAACATAACTTTGCTCATTAAGTTTGACATTTAGGAAAATATGCTGTTTGCTGTCAGGTGTATGAGAAGATCAGTCCTGCACTCATGCTATATGTAGTTAAAACACATTCCAGCTGATGTTGCTCAAAGATATTTCATATTTCAGTGTAGCTGCCGTGGGTGGCCTCAGAGCCAGACTGGTGCGTTTTCAAATAAGTGGAATTTGTGACAAAACAACAGCAACACAGATAATTGGCAAAATGCCGCATGTCGTATTTGATAATTAGCTAATCTGATAATCAGTCGACCCCTGGTACTAGTTACCAAACATGAACTCTAGTGACCTTTTGGAAGTGCTGCCTGTTTCCTCCTGTTTCCAGTGCATGCTAAGCTACGCTAACTGGCAGCAGGTCCCTCCTATGTATTCGTAGCACAGACATGAAAGTGGTTTTGATCTTTTCTTGGCAGGAAAGTGAACAACATCAAGTTTAGAGCACTGGGACCAGTATCGGAGCATTTCATCACCCAGTCCTTTAAACATTTCTGTAAAATTGTTCAGATTAAAGCAACCTAAGACGTATTTAAACATGGAGACAGCATTTACTATTTGACCATTAATGGTTTTTCATCGGGCTGCAAGGTGGCGCAGTTGGTTGCACTGCTGCCACCGGGATCTTTCTGCGTGGAGTCTCCATGTTCTCCCCGTGCAGCGTGGGTTCTCTCCGGGTTCTCCAGCTTCCTCCCACAGTCCAGAAACATGCTGAGGTTAATTGGTGATTGTAAATTGTCCGTAGGTGTGAATGTGAGTGTGCTTGGTTGTCTGTCTCTAAGTGTAGCCCTGTGATAGACTGGTTACCTGTCCAGGTGAACCTGCCTTCACCCTGAGTCAGCTGGGATAGACTCCAGCCCCCCATGACCCTAGTGAGGATTAAGGTGTAGAGATGATGGATGAATGGATAGTTTTCCATCACGCTCTGATCAGTGAACCAGACAACAAGTGTATTATTTAAACTATATATACTTTATAAATGGTTCCATGCAAACACACTTCCTTAATGCACACAATCCAAAGCTTAATACCAGAGGAAAAGACAGGTATTGGTTCAGATGCCGGACATCAAATGTGTGCAACCATCAGTGTGACTGTCGCTTCCTTTTCTCATCCAAAGTCAACCAAGATCAAGAGAGGAAGCAAAGGAGACACCAGCGTCCTGCGGCCCACTCTGATGGCAGCTGTCCCGGTAAGCCGAGACAGAACACTCAGCACAGCACAGCGCACTGCTCAGTGAGATGCTGAAGGAGCCTCAACGTTTAGAGCATCTCGTCGAGTCACGTGTCTGGAAGCAGATTAGATTTCAGTCTGTTCATAGTTCAGCTGCAGCGTAGCGGTGACAGAGTCCAGCAGGCCTGCATCTGTGGCTGTGACGTAAACACTCTGCATCCCACCGCTGCTCTTTATCGCTAAACAATGTGAGACACCCAGAGGCTCAAGTGGCCGGCCGGTCCTGCTTGTCTTTGAAGTGTATTTTATTTCTTTAATCCACTTCAACAGCACCGATGGGCTTTACTCAGAACCTGGTTGTATTTACTCTGTTAATGAAAGGGCAGAGCAGACGTTCACACGCCCAGAGTGCTTCATCAGATGTAGCAGGAGTTTACATTTGGAGGAAGTGGGACATGCTGCGTGAACAAATGTTTGCAGTGTTAAAGAGAATTGAATCTGTCAGGGTGTCGCTGCACTCCAAGAAAACAGGATTAAAGCTGCTGTGACTTATTTGTTTTCTGCCGCATTAAACAACAACTTGAATGTGCGAGAAACAACTTTTACTTGTTCACTAAGAGAGAATTGCCACCTGAATCTGCAGGTCCCTTTAGCTCAGCGGTGCGTTTTAGCGTCTTTTTGCTCCCTGTTTTGGTTTGACAGCTTTAGGTTCAGTCCTACTCTTTTCTTCATCCGTGTTTAGAGCAACAGGAGGCGGCTGTTCTCGAGCTCTGAAGCTGACTCAGCGCTAAACAGACACAAATCCAGGTGTTTGATATCAAAACAGAAGAGAGTGAAAGTGAATGCTGGCCGGAAACATGACTTCAAATGAAAGCGAAGGTTTGCTCAGTGTGTTTACAGCTGGTTTCCATTTATGGTTCAAGATTGTGGTTTTACTTTTATTTGGGCTGCTTCCGCTAAACATTTCTCTAGTTGACTTGTACGGTCATTAAATCCAGCTGTTAGTCAACAAGTGGTTTCACATTTACTAAATCAATTTGGTTATCTAAATCTCTATTTTTTGGGGTGCATTGGACATAGACTGTATAAAAGATGGACGTAGCAACTGGCCCTGAAAAATGAAGCCAACCCGGAAGTGTCAAAAACCTGCAGCATCACTACGTCCACTAGCTGCTGGCTCCACAAAGCCCTGGCTCCCATAGACTGGAACTGGAAAAGAAGTGATCACAGATCACCAAATACTGCATTCCTACAGCTCAGGATTGTTTTCTTATTAGTTTTCATGGTTAAATCCAGAGATCAGGTGGCCAATCTGAAAATAAATCAAAACTCAATTTTTAGAACATGTTGCGGGGCAAGGGGCGTGGCTGGCTTGATTGACAGTCGGCAGCGACCATACAGACGAAGCGAGCAGAAGGCGGTAAATGTGGGCGGGCAGAGAGGGCCCGCCTCTCAATCCGTCTGACCAATCGCTGCTCCTATGGCTCCGCCCCCCTCCCACGATTTTTGCGTCACTGACTCCAAAAATCCAAGATGTCAACCAGGAAGTAGCAAAACCCTGGCTTCATGTTCTCAGAGCAGAAACCAACGGGTGACGTCACGGCAGCTACGTCCATCTTTTATACAGTCTATGGCATTGGACAATGATATGAGTTCCGGGACTGAAAGAGGTTGTTTTAAGTATCCTAACATTGTTAAGACTATGAGAGAAGAAACAAACCAAAACTCCTCATCGACCTGTGTTGGGATCACCTCTAACTTTTGTTGTGATCTTCTGTAGCTAGCGAGTTAATGAACCCTTTCTCTAAACTCATTTGTGTAAATGTTCACCATCAACAAACTAACAGAAAACTTAAAGGTGTTTTGCTTTTGGACACAGCTGATGACGATGAACCTGTCAGGGAGGTCATTCATTCTATCATGATGGACAACATTACAGCCTCCTGCACTTTCCTTCATTTATCACCTTGTTTGCCAGTATTCTGACCAGCCAAAGCTAGAGATGTCCATGATTCAGTTTTGATGAGTCAGTTAGTAGCTGCTGATACCTCAGACATCATTGAGACTAGTTGGGTATTGGTCCGGCTAAGCTCTTGAACAGTGTTGGGAGAAGTGATGGCGGCTGCTGTGGTGGATCAGATCATTAGAAAACACCATGAAGCCGAAAGCGCTCATAAGTGATGACTGTGGGGGAACAACAGCTTATCAGAGACTTGTGGTCGAAATTCACCAGAACTTTGGGCTGAAGCTGCTCTGACGTGGTGGAAACACGTCCGTCATACCGTCGTATGTGAGTAGTGGTGGTAGTAGTGGTGGCTCCAGACATCTGCAACGTCATTTCATAAAAACTCTTATCAGAGGTTTGTGTAATTACGTTTGCGCTGGGCTTCAGTTTGAGATATCGACAGTGACTTGTTCAAAATGGCGCTTAATTTAAGATCTAAAAAGAACAACGCAGATGCATTGAATTAAGGGGAATTAAAGATATATTGAACTAGTCTGAAGATAAGAAACTGAAATTACAACCAGTGATAATTCAGCTGCAGTTCAGTCATAAGAAACACACTGATGGTAGAAGTGAGGTCGACATGTGGAAATGTTCTTTTGGAACCAGGAAGAGAGGAATTAAGGATGTCTCTACATAACCAGTCGAGCTATTAAATGTGAAAACATTTTGCCATCGGACTCTGTCCCTCTCTCACACATCCCGAGGACAGCCCCATCCTCCACCCCCCATCTCCCAGTGGTCGTAGTGTGGAGGCCAGAGGGCCCCGGTTTCTGGGACCATTCACAGCTGTAAACAGAACGTGAGAAAGCCCCATGTGGTTATCCCCACGACACGCACACACACTCACTCACACACACACACACACACACACACACACACACTCACACACTCACACACACACACACACACACACACTCACACACACTCACACACATACAAATTGTTTGCTGTGATATGACAACAGGCTGCTGCATGAGTCCTGTGTCGACTTCCTCTCTCACTGCTTCGGCTCCGTGCAGACCCACGTACACACACACACACACACACACACACACACACACACACACACACCGACCAGGACCAGCTGTTTTTTATTGCTTTTTTGTTTGTGCCCTTTCCCCCATTTAACTGTGAGTCCGGCTTTTGAAGACACTCGGTTGATTTGAAGGATGAAGTGTTCTTACTCTGTGGGTTTCTGTTCTCTCCGCTGCAGTCCCCTTGGCAGCACAAAACTGTACCACTTCCTATGACTGACATTCCTCTTCCCAGAACTGTTGTGTTCCTGTCTCCGGTTTAGCCCATTTCATCCAGTTTCTCTTTTACAAATACTGAAGTTCACACAAACATGCATAAATGGAATGTCAGAATATTGTTGTGGTCAAATCAGATGATGCAGCCTCATCAGGTTTTACAGCACATCTTACCAACACGTTAGACGCCATTTAAAGAAAACCAGCTGATGATGAAGGTGGAAACAGAGCCAAAGAGAGAGAAAATATGAGATTTGGACACTAAAGATGCTCTGATTTGCTATATTTAAGAAGGTAATTTGCTAACATTTTGATCCAAAAGGCAGCCAGTAATAAGTGGTGGCCACAATTCAATTAATGCAGCGTTAAACTTGCATTAACTTTATTTTAAGCAAGTAAGCATGTCAGTGCTTATTTATATGGTGGCAGAGCAGGTTTCCACTGCATGTACGGCTGCCTGCTTCACCTTTTGCCCCACCACATGCTAAAGTGTCCTTGGGCAAGATGCTGAACCCAAAGTTGCTCCCAATGGCAGGCGAGCATCCTTCACTAAAGTTCTACCACCAATGTGTGTGTGACCGTATGAGGTGTGTCAGGAAAGTTCCAGGACTGGTGTCACAAAAGATATATGTCAAACCCAAACTAGGAGTTTTCTCCTACAGACGATCAACCAGCACGTCTACAAGGAGATCCGTTTGCTTTGTTCAGTGTGCGAGAAGAGGCAGAGTTGTGTCAGGACCAGTGGAGGCTGCGTCACCATGACAACCTGCTCACATCGCCCTGAGCATCCCACAGGTCCTGGCTGAGAAGAACATCTCCGTGCTGGAGCAACCTCCCTACTCACCCCACCTGGCTCCGTGGGGTTGGTTCCTCTTCCCCAAGCTCAAGGGGGTCATCAAGGAGACCCGTTTAGAAGACGTGGACGACATCAAGATGGCTGTGAGGACGGAGCTGAGGAGGAGAATCCTTCCAGGAGTGAAGAGAAGGCTGGAGGACGGTGTTAGACTCCAGGAGGATTACTGGGAAGGGGGAAACTTGTAGTACGTAGTTTGGATTTGAAATCTATCTTTCATGACACCAGTCCTGTAACTTTTCTGACACACCTCGTATGTGTGAATAGGAAACACTATAAAGCACTTAAAGGTGCCGCTAAGATAGGAAAGTGTCACCATTTACCATTTCAGAAAAACATGAGTGTTCACTATCTTTTCAGCTTTGTTTTTGGTCTCCACCAGCTCCTCTTTGGCTACCAGACGGACAACATAGACTGTTCACCCGCTAGTTTCTAACTATGTCTGTCTGCTGTTTGGTGTCGACGAGGTCGTGCTCTGTGGCTTCTTCAGAAGACTCTCACTGAAAGCAGCTGTCTGCTGTGACCAAACACATTAACTACGAGAGCAGTGAGAGGAAACCCGAATGAACCAGAACAACCAAACAGCCTGAAGATTACATTTTCAGCTGCTCAGCTGAATTCTTTGTCAGTTCGTCGCTATGAGTGGCCGTATGAACGCACGGTTACTGTAATTTGCTCCAAAGGAATCACAGTGTTTACTGTTTTTCGCTATTCAGAGTAAAGGTTTTATCATCATACCACGTTTCATAATTTGGCACAGTTAACTAGAGTTAAATGTCACTTGGTGCAGTTTTTCATATGCTTTTCATTTAACCAAACTAGAGGTTCATTCTTGTGGATTCCCTTGGTTTTTCTCTGGTTTTGTAGGTCACGTACTGTTTGCTATCCACTGGGGAGTGTCATTACTGTTACGCAACCAAAGTTAGGGAGCACACATGTTCCACGTTGTGCTAATTTGTTTCACTTAGACATGTATTTAGAGAAAGTTATTCTGCTCTTAGTGGTTTTTTTGTGTTTTATAAGCTTTTTATTGACTATTATTTTGTTCTAGTTATGTCACTTTGGGTCACAGTAAATACGTCCCAGAGCAGGGAATACAGACGACGTAGCTTCTTCAAGCTGCTTTCAGACGAAGGTTTTGGGAAACAGAAAACAAGCCAAATAAAAATAAAATAACCCACATATCTGTGAACTGTGACGTATTGGGTTTGTTGAACTTGTGTGTTTTCACTGAGCAGTTAAGTATAAGAACAGAATTCACCATCTCATATCTCCTTGAGTGTCGAGGTCATTTCTATCCAGCGTAACAGCCATTTACAATGACTCCTATCTGTCCATTTGTCTATTTATCTCCTCCTATGCATTTACAGTTTATCTCCATAGTGGGTCTTACATGTTGCCCTGCTGTTTTTACACTTTTCTCTTTTTTATTTTTTCATTCTGTCGCTTCTTTTTCTTTCTCTCCATCTACCCTCCTACCTGCCCCACCTCCTGACTCCAGGAGATCATGGACCGCATCTACAAGAACGTGATGACCAAGGTGGAGGAGATGAACTGCGTCCAGCGAACACTCTTCATTTTGGCCTACAACTACAAACTGGAGCAGCTTTCCAAAGGTTACAGCACGCCACTGTGCGACAGGTGAGCTGATTCAGTCGTACTTGTAGGTGCTGCAGAGTCTTAAGGAGCTTTTAAAAGTGGACAGCTTTATAACGCATACATATCTGCCTTTTCTCTAATGTCCTGCCTCCTACAGGTTGGTGTTCAGGAAGGTCCGTTCTCTGCTGGGAGGTCGGACACGAGTGTTGTTGTCAGGCGGAGCGCCGCTCTCAGCAGCCACGCAGCGTTTCATGAATGTGTGCTTCTGCTGTCCGGTGGGTCAAGGTTACGGCCTGACGGAGACCTGCGGCGCTGGAACCATCAGTGAACGTAAGAGGGAATGACAGTGGCACACAGTTAGCATACAAGTAAAAATATTACGATACGTCAAATCACAAAGTAGGAAAAGAAACGACCTGTCCTCATCACTGATGTTGGACTGTGAATAAATCATGTTGACTTCCATCCAGCACCATCATTAGATCCAAATTCTTAGTTAAGTACTTTAATTTATGACCAAACATTTGCAGAACTACACTCACCCAGAAAGCACAGTCCTGCCATACATGCTGGTTTTGATTTTTGTTATTTTGACTGTTTTAGAGGTGTGTTGATTGAACTGTATGATCATGCAGTTTGCATAATTGTGTCACACTGACAGGTGTTTTGCTTGTTTTGTCCACCACATCTATATAACTGAGGTTAAGCTGTCCAACAGAAGCACCTCTATGTAATGATCATACAGTTAATTCAAAGTTTATTGCAGGACAGTCAAACTAGACAGCTGCAGCTGTAACCAGGTGTGCCTAATAAAAGCTAAAAGTAAAGCAAAGTCCAGCTTGCTAACATTTATAACTCTGTTGGTGCATAATAAACATCATGCCTATGAAGCATTAGCATGCTGGCATTGTCAGTGCATATTACATTCTGATGTCAGGGTGACTGGAGTCTTGTTTATGTGTAATCACTCAGGATGAGAGGACAACAGCAAGGGTTGTGTGATTGTGACATTTAGCTTTTCTGCTGTGTATTACTTGAGCAGATGATTCCAATAAGCATTTGGAAAAAGTCATTCTAGAGTGATTAAGGTGATTTTGTCGGGGAGTGTAGCTGCATCTGCATCAAAAACATAAAATGAAATAGCTGAAAAAGAGGCATTTCCCATATGGTGTAACACTAGCAAAGGTGTCTGCAGTAGTTTTTATTCTTTGCATGACATTCAGGTCTGTCTTTGCACTCATACAGAGCTCTGTGCTGCTGATTTAAAGGTCAGACAAATGAGTTGTGTTGCCCCACGTACCGCAGAAGAACGGTTTTTGGTCAACGTACTTTCTGGAGCTGAAATATTTCCATCCAGTCAAGTTCTGTATCTGTGTAACCAGAAGGCTGGAATCAGAGTAGATGAGGTTCTATCAGAACTTCTCTTGTTGATTAGTCGTGAAAAATGTCTTTTTGTACAGAGCAACAAAAGCATCTGTGACATGATGTGTTTGTGTGAATCCACCCTGCAGCCTGAACAGCAACACTTCAGCAGTAGCAGCTGCTTGGTGACTAAATGAAATTAAAACAGTAATTTGTTCTCAATAAGCTGGAAAAGCTTCACGTTATTGAGCAACCGTGGGAAATTACTGAAATGATGAATCTTTCACAACCTGAAAGCGGCGATAAAGCAGCGGGAGGGCACGGAGCGGGAAGGAGTGTTTCACCGGCGGACGGGAAAATGGATGAGAGGAAAGTAATTAGTAGATCTACTGTGCGTGGGTGTCAGTAAACAGAGGAGGGAGTAGGTTATCTGTTTTGGAAAAACCAACATTAGCAACAAGTTGTTGAGCGCTGAGAGCACGGTTAGCATCCAGTGTTGGGAAACTTGAATTTAGGCTCCTACTGTTGTGTAAAATTCATAAAAACGATCGTCTCTACCAAAAAAAACCTGACTTTTCTTCCAGCTTCTCATAAGTAACTTTCTTATTCCTGTGCGTAAATAAATGCCTCTGATCTGCGGTGCTGATGCCTGTTCCAGTAATCTGTTTTCAACTATTCAGCTGATTTATTGGCTTTCACTGCCAACACTTGAGTCCAACAGTAGAAATCTTTTTAGCCTTTCCCAGGCAGACTAAACCAACAGAGCTGCCCGCTGCCCACCATATCTGCTGCGGCCATTCGAGCCAGGAAAACACTGTGTAACTTGTGAACGCTCCTCTGGGATGAGGTTTCCATGGCGAGGGAGCAAGTGAGGTCATGTTGCTATGGCGATAAATGTCGTGCCTTGATGCTAGCGGGCTTCCTGATCATGTGTGGGTGTGTTGTCTGTTCCAGTGTGGGATTACAGCACTGGGAGAGTGGGAGGACCGCTGGTTTGCTGTGAGATCAAGCTCAAGGACTGGGTGGAGGGTGAGTGAGGCGCCGCTACACCCGCGCACACGGCCCTCATGATGGGATGCGCAGTGTCACATGGATTCACCAGGACACACATCACGTTTTTTTTTTTCTTATGTGTCATCTCATGCACGCAAACACTTGTGAGTTCACCGGTCCATCCTCGTGACGGTGTCGTTTCAAGAGACTGTAGCCGCTCCACAGCCTTGTAAGGAAAGCAAACCGCTTTTCTCTACACTCCTCTACAACTTCCATCTTTTCCGTCGGGGAATCATAACTCACTTTTATGGCACTCTGTTAAATCATGATACTTATCAAGTTGAGTTTATTGCCTGCTTGGTTTGCAGCGCAGAAATAGAAGTTAAAGTAAACACGCCATCTGTTATTTTATGACAAAATGATTACGGAGCAGAATCAGGAGAATTGAAACTTTATTTTGTTGCCGTTTTTCATTTGCAGTCCATTTCCTGTGCTTTTAGGGGGCTACCGCAGCACCGACAAGCCCCATCCCAGAGGAGAGATCCTCATCGGTGGACCCAATGTCACCATGGGATACTACAAGAAGGAGGCGAAGAACCAGGAGGACTTCTTTGTCGATGAGAACGGCCAGCGGTGGTTCTGTACGGGAGACATCGGGGAGTTCCAGGAGGACGGGTGCCTCAAGATAATCGGTGAGGATGCAGTGTGGAGATGTGGGCAGTCGGAGCAGATTACCACTTGAGGAAATCTCTCCTAGTTTGGACGCTGCTCCATCAAAAGCACAAGCTATCTACATCGTGTCCCTTATTTCTGGATGTCGTCCAGACAACCTCCACTTTCATTCATCAGTTCTGCAGATCACTGATTAGAATAACTCCACAGCCCTGTTTCCTTCCGTGAGCCGGAACCTCCCAACTTTTCACTTTTATCGAGATGACACCAGTCAGATACACAGTTCAGTTATAAAACAAAAAAAACAGGTCCTTCCTCCACTTCCTTCCTCCCTTCTTTTTCAGATGAACTGTCCACACTTACACACATCTGCACACACGTGTTGTCACAGGCCGCCGCCTCTGCTGTGTTTCCAGATCGTAAGAAGGACCTGGTGAAGCTGCAGGCGGGAGAGTACGTCTCCCTGGGAAAGGTGGAGGCCATGCTGAAGAACTGTGCTCTGATCGACAACATCTGTGCCTACGCCAACAGGTGTGTGAGGGGAGGCGACATGACGGGAGTTTACTGATCCGATGAACCGCTCACACCACTGCTGATTAAAGTAGATGCCTGGAGTAAACAGTGGTGAAAGTCAGACGATAACAAATGATTTGGTGAACCAGGAAATGTTACTCATACATGCAGGACTCAGCTTGTACACAGAATACGGTGACCGCGCTCACAAACTACGGACACACCTGTGAGTCTCAGTGCAGGGTGCAGCAGGACAGTTTAACAGCAGAAAGAACGGACGATCCCGATCTGTGACGCAAAGCAGAATGCAGACGGAGGAGAAACACACCTCACAGAGACAGACCTGTTACATGTCAGGGTCCTGAGTGCAGCCAGTGAAAATGTTTAAGGATGTTTACAACTAAAGTGGTTGCACTTCAGAGCTCTTTCCTAACATCTCTGCTCTCTGTCAGCTTCTTACCTCTTTGAGAATAGAATAGAACTTTATTGATCCCTTTGGTGCAAACCTCAGGGAAACTGTTGAGCTCATTGTTTTGGTTCTTAACAGTGAAATAAGTTGAGCAGCGAACAAATCAGAGGTCAGTTTGTCAGAAGCTACCAGAGACCGAAACAGATGTTTGCTGTTTATGCTTTTATGGAAGTTGTTGCAGCAGCAGTTCCAAACACATCACCCTGTTTTGTGCTGAATAACTCTGATATAATCCCACACCTCAGACAACAGAACCGGGTCGTGTTAGGTCACTTTTTCCTAGAAAGCTCCGTGGCGCAGTCGTAGATGAGATGGATAACATCATGTTGTCTTACATCAACGTAACTATTTTATCTTGTCTGCAATCTTGTTCTTTGATTAGTTTTCTAATTTTGCATTTACCTTGTTTTAAAGCCCTCTGCACCTTTGCTTTCAAAAAGTGCAAACAACATTATTATAATAATTATTATTATTTATTATTATTGGACATTCCAGAGGTTTCCTGAGTCTCCTGCTCCAGACACACAGAAAGCCTCTCACACTGGAAACACAAACGTGTTTGGCCTTCCTGACTCAGATTCTGAGCATATTTCTGCAGCCCGACATGTTTACGCAGCTCTGTGTCACAGCGCAACAGATCCCGTTTTCCAGAGATTTGCAATCTGTTCACACTCTGCTCAGGCATGTGTTCTCACCGTCTCCTTATACGGCCGACTGTCTCGCCCGCATGTTTGTGCTCCATCACCTTATTCGGCCCAGCATTTAGATGGAGACCAATTTCACTTAATAACGGCACTCTGTTTGTCCTCCTCGTCTTCCTGCAGCGATGAGACATATGTGATTGGCTTTGTGGTGCCCAATCAGAAGCACCTGCTGGCTCTGGCTGACCAGTACGGTATCCGAGGGTCATTTGAGGAGCTGTGCAGCAGCAAAGCCGTGGAGGAGCTGGTCCTGAAGGTCATCACTGAGGCTGCACTAGCGGGTGAGGACACGGTGAACTTTAGCTTGAAGCTCCAGACACGGGTTGGTTTGCTTTTAACCAAGTTCATGTTTGTTCCTCTGTTGTAGCCCAGCTAGAGCGTTTTGAGATCCCTCGCAAGATCTGCCTGAGCCCAGAACCTTGGACCCCCGAGACAGGACTAGTGACTGATGCGTTCAAGCTCAAACGCAAGGAGCTGAAAACGCATTACCAGGACGACATAGAGAGGATGTACGGTGGCAAGTAACAAGAAGGACCAGCACAGAACTGTTGATTCTCAAAGCTCAGACCAAACCAACACTTGCCTCTGACACTCTCAGTGCTCTCTCACCTCCCCCCCCGTCCTCTCCCCCATCGATTAGAGACCTCCATCTGTGGTAAACCCTAATGTCTCAAAGATAAACCAGCCTCACTATGGAAGCAGCTTTTACTTGAATTTGTCACAGCAGACAGGCTGAGAAAGTGTTTGAAAGAGAACACATCCCTGTCCACTCCTGCCTTTCCCCTCTTCCTTCTTCCAGGTGTGTGACCCCTTTGTGTGGATCTTTATTGTTCCAGATGTGAGTTATGAAACAGAGTTAGCTCACGTCGCCTGTTGAACTCTTGTCGGAGCGCCACAGCAGAATCTCAGGTCGGTTTGTTGCTTTGTGCTCACCCACATGTTAGTCCTAAGTTAAATTCTCTTCTAATCTTTTGACTTCAAACCTTCTGCTCGCTCTTATTCCACATTTCCTGCCGGTCAGGAGAGAGTTAACGTCTTTGTTTCTCTTTTCTTTTTGTCTTTAACTTGGTTTATTTTATCTCCCACCCACAGTCAGACTGTGACGCTCACGCTCGTGGGGCGTCGCTCTCATCAGCACGTGTTGATACCAAAAGCACAAAGTCATTCGAGGGCAAAAGAGCAGGTTGGTAAAAAATAATAAGCTCCTAACTGGTCTAATGGTTTGTGTCTTTCAGTCTAACAGTGAGGCTGGAAAATGACAAGATTGAAACGACTTATTTTGAAATAAAACAAACAGAAGTGCACTATTGTTTAGCCTGTTAGTGGAATCCTCCTACGCTGAGTGACTTTTCTATGTGTTCAGACACAAAAATGCACATTTGCTCGTTTCTATTACGGATGAAATTACTGTGTAATCATGGTTGATGAATCAGTGCAATATGAGGATGTATCATTTCTAAGCAGGGCGACTTCAGTGTGCGTGGCTGACATTTATTCTGTTTGAAGCCTTGTCACATATCTGGCGTCATCACAAACGCCTCCAGTGTCCCTCACAGCGTCGCACCTGTTGCCTTTTATTTTGTGAGTAACGCCTTTGTAATTCCTGACTGATTTTTAATTGGATGTTCCTCCTTAATCGCCCGTGTTCTTATGTGGAGCTGTGATCAGAAGTGTGTCGTCTGTGTGTTAACTGAAGCTTGGTTGTCACAGACCAGTCATGGAGCTCCACTCTGCCTTGTAACATAAGTGCATCCCACTATTTATTTGTAATTTACCTTTGGAAAAAAAACACACTCAAATGAAGTAAATAAAGATTGTGTTCTGTCCATGCGTGAGAATCTTACTTCTGGCACGGTCTAACTAATTAAATTAAAAGTACGAGGCAGGCGCTGTAATTCTTTGGTATTGAGCACATCAGACTCGGTGGGTGTGAAATCGATGCTTGTCACCAGACAGACAGATGAGGACATTTATTTATGTCTGAATGTCAGCCTTCGCTGATTCAATATTAGTAATGACTAATTGGAACATAATTCAATTTGTCCATTAATGCTCAGCAGTCACGGCGGCTCTGAGGTGTAAATTTCCAGTGTGGGCAGACGGATCCGCTGCTAGGTGGAGCTCAGGCAGACGATTGAATTAAACATCAGCCACTGATCCATCCTGCTTTGAAAGAAACGGAGCCGCCCTTAAAGAAGACACAACAAAATGCTAATGGGAGTGGGAATGAAACATCTGCTGCTGGGAATCTGATATTTATTTGCACTGTTTGAGCATTTTCTCCTGAATTCACTGTATTCTGTTGTTCTGGTGAAACAGGCATGACAGTGTCAGCTGGACGCTTGTCCTTCTTTTCTGACACTTGTTCATGTTACTTCCACCATCCAAGTCTTAACATAAGCAGCTGTAACCGATACTTTTTTTTAACCACGATAGATTGAATAACGAAGTGAAAGCGGTTACTGTCAGTGATGAACTGATGGGGAACTGTCCTGAGAGTCTGCCACTCCCCTCGGCTCTTTGGAGCTTTAGAGTTTTAATTTTTTTTCACCGTTTTGACAGCATTAGTTTTTTTTGTAGGGATGCACCGTGTTGTTGGATCATCACTGGTATTGTCAGATAAAGGCTTTAAAATGAAAACATAGCATTGGCCAGACATGATACATAGAAGCAGAGGGATGAAGTCTCAGGTTCAGCCTCCTCTCCTGTAAAGCTCTGTTACTGTTAACAGATAAGAAAACAACAACAAGTACACACACACACACACACACAGACCTATGGGCACGATGACTCTGTAGCTGCCCATCGATGGGCAACTCTAACAATCAACAACTTGCCGTGTAGATGGTAACACACACTGGTCAGATGAAAGACAGACGGATAGCAGCATCCAAAAATATAGAAAGAAAGTACAAGAAATAGCAAAAATGAACAACAGTATTTACATTGAAAAGAAAAATAGATTGTTCAAATTTGTGCAAATCTGCAGCGCAAAAGTGAAATCGATACACTAAATGCTTTTTATTTCAGTTTGGTCAACATCAGCCAGTGATGCTGATGTTGTCCAGTCTTACTGCAGTTGGTAGGAACGACCTGCGGGGGCGCTCTTTCTTGCAGAGAGGATGTTTCAGTCCACTGCTGAAGGAGCTACTTAAAGCCTCCACAGTCTCATGCAGCGGGTCAGAGGGGTTGTCCATGATGGATGTGAGCTTTGCTAACGTCCTCCTCTCACCCACCTCCTCTATGGGGTCCAGGGAGCAGTCCAGGACAGAACCGGCCCTCCTCACCGGGCTGTTCAGTCTCTCTCTGTCCCTGTCTGTGTTCCCTCCTCCCCCCCAGCAGACCACTGCATAGGAAAGAGCTGATGCCACCACAGTGTCATAGAAGGTCCTGAGCAGAGTCCTGTACACTCCAAAGGACCTCAGTCTCCTCAGCAGGTGGAGACCACGTTGGCCCTGCCTGTCCAGGACCTCTGTGTTGGTGGACCAGTCCAGTTTTTGTTAAGGTGAACATGCAGGTATCTACAGGTCTCCACCATGTTCACCTGTACAGTCTGGGGTGTCTCCTCCTGCAGAAGTCAGTGACCATCTCCTTTGTCTTACTGGTGCTGAGCTGGAGATGGTTCTGCTCAGACCAGTTTACAAAGTCACTGATAACAGTCTGGTACTCCTGCTCGTCCCCCTCAGATGCACACCCGACGATGGCTGTATCATCAGAGAACTTCTGGAGGTGACAGCTCCCAGACCTGTAATGGTAGTCTGAAGTGTACAGGGTGACGAGAAAGGGGGACAGCACTGTCCCCTGTGGGGCCCCAGTGCTGCAGACCACCACATCAGACACACAGTCCTGAAGCCTCCTGAGCTGTGGCTTACATTACATGATTAGGTTCATTCTGTTGACTCTGATTGTAAGTATAAGGTTTATTTTTATAAAAAGAAACCTTATACCTTCAATTATATTGATTTTTTTCACATTTTATACATTTGTGTGCTTTTCAGTTCTAAATAATGATGCTAATAAATTGTTGCATCGACTAACTGGATGACATATCGTTGTACATTTGTATTGTAAGAAGCATAATATTGCATTTTTACTGAAGCAGCATTTTGAATGCACAACGTGTCTTTATGGAGTATTTCTACATTGGTACATGCTCACTTACTAAGTTAGAGGAATACATCTGCTGAGGATTTAAAAACAAATTCAGACTCAGACAAAATGGTTGAAATATTTGTCAGTATAGATTCCAAACCCTTTATGGAAAGATTAGGTGCTTCTGCCTGCCTCTGTCTGCATCATTCATTTGGTTTTACAAGATTTTATTCATAGTTCTTCAGTTCATTTGTAAGGAAATTGAAAACTCCTGAGTGGAGAGATGAAGGGAGTAGATGTGTTTATTATTTGAGTCCCAGAATAGAGGCTTGATGCAGTCATATATATGTAGATGTGCTTATGCATAATGGACTTAGAGAGTGTCAGTAGCCAAATCTACGGAGAGAAAAAAAAAATCACATTTTTATTCGCAGTTTTCTCTTTTAAAGTATTTTTCCATCCTGTCCCCTTGAGGCCACTTTCTGTTGGACTCTGGAGATGTGATCTTATTCTTATTGATAAAGTTAGTACGTTGAATATACTCATGAGCATGCGATGATATCATAAGAATCCCCTGGAGGTGTGAATGAAGTTAAAACATTCATTTTTTTTAACACAGCGTCCCCTCAGGGGCCTCTGTAGACTCAGGGCTCATCTTACAATCAGACCCCATCACGTGACTCATGATGACACTCCGGGGTCTCTGTATAAATAAGTTCCTCCATTTGGAAGTTCTGCCAAACTTCAGAAGAGCTGCAAGAAGATACAAGTGGAACACTTTCACATGAGACATAACTCTTCAGTTTGGTGAGTTGGCATATCATGACAATGTCGCTTCTGTTTCTAGATAGTTGAGTTTTATATGGACTAAATGTGTTTGTGCATACTTTTAGAAGTTTTTCCTAACTTTTGGAAAGTGTTTCATTCAGCAGAAAAAACACAGAAATGCGTAATTAAAGGGTAACATATAGCTTTAAAGTAAACTTAACATACATTTTTGTGAAAAATTAACTATGCTTAAAATAAGTTTAATAAAAGAATATAAAAAATGCTCAATGACCTGCTGACACAGTGAACTGAATGTAATTTACTGAATATTCTGGCAGCACTGAATTTAAAACAAAATGCTCCAAATGTCTGTGATGAAGTTTCATTAAAGTTACACACGTTTCCCAAATATTTGTAACAACTTGTGCGAGAATACTCCACTAATTGAAAGCCTATCCTTGTGCGTAAAGCGTGCGTAAAGCGTGCGTAAAGGTGCCAAAAAACCCTTATATTTACAAATGCACTTGTGTGTCTTTTTCAGCGTGCGTTCTAGTTCCCCTGCAAAGGCTGTGCTGAAAAATGGAGCACCTGGAAAATTCCACGGCATCACCCAAACGCCTGTCCCTGCACACTCAGAGCACCGCGGACTCCCAGGCAGACAGAAGCGACGGCAACGCGTACCTGTACATATTAATCGTCATGTCTTTCTACGGAGTCTTCCTCTGTGGTATAATGCTGGGCTACTTTCGCTCTAAGAGGAGGGAGAAGAGGAGGATCAACATATTCACGCGCCTCGTGCACGAGGAGGAGCAGCGGGAGTGGGGCGCGCTGCCCAGAAAGCACAGCCTCACCTTCCCCGCCGCTGTCTCGGTGCTGCCCTCGTTGCAGGTGTCCCTGCCTTTCTGTAGTCACCATGGCAACCATTTTGGACACCTCCACTACGAGGGCGCGCTGCCTTCTCCGCTGGCGTGCGCGCTGTGCACGGAGCAGAGCAGCATCAGCTCCCTGTGCTCCTCGGCGGACACGCGCTTCACCATCGAGGAGGAGTCGGACAGCGGCACGGCGGAGGGGACGGAGGAGAACGTGAAGGGAGGATCCGAGAACAGCGGAGACGATTCAGGCTGAACTTTACCCAGAAAAACTGAGCGTTAACGATCCACTGCCAAAAAGAGGAGAAACATCACCTGAAGAGACCTGGAGGTCCTCAGGAGTCTTTAAAATAAAGAAGCCCAAAGAGTGGAACCATCAGCTGTTGCAATAAAAACTCAAACCCGAACCAACATGATCCCTGATATGACATCAATGAAAGGGCTGGAAACAGCTGAATGAGAATAAGAGTGTTGTAGATTTTAGCTGCACTGCTTAGAGGGGACAATTGCACAGAATGTACCTTTATTGTTTTTGCTTGATTTGTTTTGGATAACTGCTGCTCTCCATATTTATAACAGTAAGACACGTTCTGATTCAGTGCTACACCTGACCTGCACAGTGGCAGCATGAAGCTACACGTTCACCACATGAAGCCACATATGGCCTCAGAAGATTTTACTCTTTAGGTTTAATATTTATACCTATCTGCATTTCAAATGACAAGATAAGATGCATCATTTTATATGTTATATGTTGGAATAATTATGCTGATATTAAGCAGAGCTTTACCTTGTAGACGTAAACCAGATCATTTACTATTACACGTTATGGTTTTACTGTATATTTGCCTCACTCTGTGGTGACCCCTCCCTGCTGGAACTCCTCCTGACGCCACACTGAGATCCACCGCACTGGTTTGGGCTGATGACTCACCCTGCAGGGGACTGAGTGGAGAACCGGCTTTTTGGGCTGTTTGGGCTCAAACTGAACTTGACTCGCTCGCTGTCGAGTATTGAAACGTACCTGGAACCCACTTGAAAGATTGTCTAAACTAAACTGTAGTTTGTTGTCGCTTCATCGTGGACACACACTGTTCATACACAACGGATGAGTTCGGTTTACTTGATGAAAGCAATGCACTGTACATACGGTTTGTATTTGTCACTCTGTAAGGCTTAATTTAAGACGGAATCTTTGTAGCGTTACGGAAAATAAAAATGCTTTCGAATGGAAACAAGTTTGATTTTGTTCTTTCTGTGGTGTCATGATGTTTCGCCAGCGGAGGGCAGTGTTGTAGTGGCTTCTTGTAACAAACAAGGAGGATGAAAAGGAGAAGAAATGAAGAGAAAGTCTGACTCTATTATTACAGTGTTATTTTTAGAATGCCTACATCAGAATAATGCAGAGTAGGACGGTTAATAACTACATCAGTACCACCACGGCTCATGTTTTTTGCACTAATGCTCAGTTCAGCCTCATATTTCGGTGTTTTTATTCCCAGTAAGGCTTCAAAACTGACAATGTCTGAACCTCTGGTGGCAGCTAAGAAGCCTGAACCAGTTTATTTTTCCATTTATTGGTCATATTTTATTGAAGTGGAGACTCTGGAGCTCCTAAAGGATCACGGGCTGCATTTATAGACCCATCAGACTAGATGATCACATGTTGATTTGACACAGAAGACCAGCAGATCACGGCTCTGATTCACCGACGCTCGTTTCTTCCCTTCAAATCAACGGATTGAAGCGATTTCGTCTGAGTGAGAAAAGATGCCAGGAGGCAGTTTCAGGTCTTTCTGTTCCCTCTTTTGTGTTTTCTCTCCGCCGTGTCAGTCAACCTTGCCTCGTTCACACACACTCCTGTGCACACAAACACGGGTTATCAGCAGCGCTGCAGGCCCAGAGTCCCACAGCTCGCTGCGGTGACAGCTCGCCACACCAGCATCAGCGACAATAAACGGCCGCAGGGAATACATGCATAGATTTTTATGACGTCCTTGTATTGACAGCTAACAGCCCTGATAGGCCCAAAGGTGTCAGTGAGGGTCTGGGCTGGTTGTGTGTCCGTGTGTGTGCGGATTTCCAGCTATTTTCTCCTTTATTCAGGCGTTTTCAGTTTAGCAGCTTGGTGAATAAACCGCTGTGAATGGAAAGGCAGCAAATAAACGAGACTGTCACTGAACATTTGTTAATGAGATTTTGTGAGCGTCGAGATAATATCTGGAATTTAGACATTTAGTTCTCGTCAAGAGAAGCTTAATAGCGACTGAAAGTGTTCACTCATGTGAATCAAAGTGAACCGATCAGCCACATCATTAAAACCACTGAGGAGTTCAGTGAATAATGTTTTTCTGGGAGATCTTTGGTCCAGACGTTCATTTGGATTTTACTCCGATGTGCACCATAAACATCACTTCAGACCAGAACAATGTGTCCCTCCACACTGCAAAAACTGCTCAGAAACATCTGGAGGAAAACAACCAAGAGCTCAAGACCTCAACCCACCTGAGAAACCCAAGAATCACTGCCATGTGCTGAAACAAGCCTGATCCTCGGAGGGTCCACAACCAACAGGACCAAAAGATGTTGCTGCTGATGTCCTGGACATGACCAGACACCCGAGGTCCCCGGTCCATACCTCTGGGTCAGACCTTCACTATACTAAATATAAGTCAAGGGGTTCTCTAATACATCGTCTGCTCTCCGTCTGTCATTTTGTTCTCTGTCCATTCAACCCTCACCCCAACCAGGCGGGGCAGATGGCTGCCCTCCATCAGCCTGGTCCTGCTGGAGGTGGGTGTTTTTTTTCCTAAATTTTTCTTGCTGTTGCCAAATACTTTCTCTGGAAACTTTGGATTTAAGACAAGATGAACTTCACTGATCCCTCACCAGGGAAATAAAAACTGTTTGTTTCTCTGTATGAATTCTGAGATGACATGTAAAATAACATAGAGTAGAATTTAATTGGTTTAAATGTTGTGGCTAATTGGTGAACATTCAATGTGTTTTTCTGACAGAAATCTACAGAAAGTAGTAGTAGTAGTGTTCCAAATTCATTACAAATTACCGACTGCATTAGAGCTCAGCGCCCTCAAGTCCCTGTTCAGAGGATGGACTTCTGGCAGCAGCAGCAACCGGTTTACGTGAAGAAGTCTCTGTCAGCTTTGCTGCAGTTTTCCATCCATTCTTCTTGGCAAAGCTGCTCCGGCTGTGTCAGGTTCTAAGAGGATTTGGAGGCAGCAGTTTTCTCTAAACGCTCCTGGTCTCTGACTCAGTCACCCGAGGACATCAACACTGTTGTTCTGAAGCCAATTCTGAGAAGCTCTGGCTTCATGCTCGGTGTCTAAACGTGGCTTTTAGTCAAAGTGGCAACAATCATGGCTTGATAGTGTCTGAAAGTACAATATGACCTCTGGTCCAGTTAGCATGTAACACGTCTAGCATTTAATCATGTGACATAAATCTACACAACCTCAAAGCTTTCATGGTTGCCAGAGGATGAACCTCCTCAGCTGTTAGCATCCTCAGATAATACTTTGCAAACAGGATACCTGCTAACTAATTGATGTTGACTAGCGTAGCAGCATGCTAATACTGGCATTTAGGTCAGAACACTGCTGGATTCCAAGGAACTCAAAACTTTCCAGTATCCACCCCTAACTCCTAATTACCATCTGGCACTTCTCCTCTCTTTATTGGGGATGTTTTGCCACAGTTGTGACTCCCTAAAAATTATACCCTTCAGGTACAGGTGTGTTTATCCTGCAGTCAAATGATCTACTAATTTCTGGACTTACTGGCTGCACTAGTGATGTTTAAAGTGCCTCAATAATGCAATATGAAAACATGTATTTTACACTTGTGATCCATTTAAATCGATTTGCAGAGACGTGACATTAAAGGACTTTTTCTGATGATCGGTGTTCAAAAAAAATCCAAGCAACCAGCACATGTATGCAGGTCGTCTTCTCAGTGGGGCGGTGCTGAAATAAATGGGAATAGCCATTGAAAGAAGACACAACACTTCCTGTAAGTGTCCTTGTCTTCTGGACAGCGTGACACAGATACAGACTTGTTGAAGCATTCTGAATCTTATTTCCTACAACAACACAAACAGCCCGCTGAATAATTCATGCGCAACAAACACACAGCGAACTCTTCATTCATTACCAACAAGGAAGCGACGGAGGACGCGCTGCTGCGTGTCAACAAGCAGGAAAAATACCTGCAAACTGCCCTCTTACACAGTTCATCAGCAGCAGTGAGTGTAGGAGAGAGACGGCGGGACAGAAAGCAAGAGGCAGAGCAAGAGCGAGCCGGCTGAGAATAAGAAGCAGATGCGATGCACGGAGCGTCTCCTGCACCGTGAAGCAGGATGTTTGTCATTAGTGTCCCCCTGTGGGAGCCGATGGTGGGGGTCTGCGTCCTGCCTCAGGCCTCACACATACACACCAGGACTGTGGATATGAGTCACTTTCAACCCGTCATCTCTCTCCCCAGTTTCCAGCTTCACCCCGCTCCTTCCTTCCTTCCTTCCTTCCTTCTGTCGTCTCATTAAACTTCTTTTCATTAAAAGGAGATTTCATCAGAAAGGGGGTTTTGTAATGTGAGCATGTATAATTGATGGATCTGTAGACGCTGGACTGGCTGCCAACGGGGATCTCATTCAGACAGAGTCCATAAAAGCAGCATTTGCGTTCGTACGAGTGAATGTATTAGCATAAATATTTGAATGGAACAGTTCTCCGTTGCACTTCTAGTAATTGTTTAGGCTTCGGAACAAATGCAGCCAAATTTAAAGACACACTGATGCATACTTTCATATGAACAACACATGAGGTGACTGTGTGCGATGTGAAACGGGTCACATGTAGTGATGAACCCACAGGGAACCACCTCCGATCTACAGAAGCTGTTTTGGTTCATTGTTTTGCAAACTTACATTTTAGTTCAATCACTCTATCAAACAGTTTCCACCAGCAACAGTCAAACAGCAACACTTTAAACGACCTGCACAGCACAAAACTAAGCTACCAACTCGTTGCTGAAGAAAGTGAAGCAACTAG